GAGACAATGGGAGCGACACCCCAAATTCGCCGGGGGTGCCGGGCTGGGCAGCTCGATCCCGCTCCGAGAGCGGGGCACGGACACGCACCCGGCGGCTTCAAGCGGGGACCGAGCCTCACCTTTGTTTTCACACGAACACAACGCGAGCTGAGGTTTTGGGGGGGCACCCACAGCCATGTCTGATCCCCCCTCTAAAAAACATACTTGCCCCCAAAAAGCCATATCCCCCCCACACACACACAAGGTGTTTCCTCCCCGACGAGCCATGCTCTCCCCCTAAAAGCCAAATTTCTCCCCAAAAAAAGCCATTTCCCCCCACCACCGGCACTGCCAGCCTGCGCCTTGGCACTGCCCTATGCCAGCACTGAATTTTGGGATAACAGGGCTTTTAGGGGGAAAATTTAGCTTTATTTTTTTTCCTTTTTTTTTGGGGGGGGGGGGCGGATATGTTTTTTTGGGGGGAAGGATGGAGTCTGGGGGACAAACCTGGCTTTTAGAAGGGAAACATGGCATTTGAGGGAAAACATGGCTTTTAGGGAGGAAAATAGAGGTCTTAGGAGAAAAATGTGTTTCTTTTGGGGGAAACACGAGGTTTTCTGGGGAAGCACGGCTTTTAGGGAGAACATATGGCTTTTCTGAGGAAACATGAGGTTTTTGGGGAAATGTCCTTTTTGGGGGGAAACATATATTTTAGGGAGGAAGCACAGCATATCGTGGAAGAAACATTGCTTTCGGGATGGGGGAAAGCTTGGCTTTTTGGGAAGGAAACACGGCTTTCAGCGGGGAAATACGGCTTTTTTAGAGGGCAACCCGGTTTTTAGGGGGGCAGGCTTCGCTTTCTCCCCGCCCTGAGGGAGCCCCGGGGCTGCCAGAGCTGGGAAGGGGCTTCCCCTTCCCAGAAGGGGCTGCAGCCCCCCGTGGGCTCTGCCCTCCGCAGCCACCCCCGAAACGCTGTGAGGGACTGGCACAGGGGCTGGCACAGGGGCTCCCCTTACCCTCCACCCTCAAATGTGGTTCCCCTCCACACCAGGCCTGTCCCGCCCCGAGGGGCCCGTCCCGCCGCCCCGCTCCCCGGAAAAGGGCCTCGCCCGGGGAAGGCAAACCGCGGGGCCGCTCTCACCTGCCGCCGGGCCGGGCCGGGCCGGGCCCTCAGGGCTGCGGGCGGCGGGGCCGCTGCGTCGCCCCGGTGACGGCTCCGACCAGCGCCGCCATCTTCCCTCCCCGCCCTCCCGCCGCTGCCCCGGCCGCGCCGGCCGCGCACTGCGCAGGCGCGGGACCGCCCTCGACATCACGTGACATAGGGCGGGCGTGGAGTGTCCTTATGGTGCCGCCATGATGGGAAGGTCAAGTGTTCGCTTGGCGGCGCAGCGCGGGGAGCGCCGTGTTTGGCTGGTCCCGCCGCCATCTTGGGACGGTCCTAGCGCCGTGGTGGGCGAGGCGGGCGGGCGAGGCCGCCATGTTGGGGAGGGCGGCGCTGAGGCGGAGATGCCGGGGCGGCTCCCGCTCCTTGTCCCGTTCCTTGTCCCGTTCTCTCCCGCTCTCTCCCGGTGTCCCGCCCTCTTCCGCAGCCCCGGGAGGCGCGGCTGGGCCACGGGGACCCGCTCTACCCGCAGGCAGCCCCGCCGTGTCCCTGCGTGCCCCTCAGAGGCGGGGAGCGCCTGAGGGCTCGGCAGGGAGGCGGGATGTGGCCGTGCCCTCAGGGCTGCCCCTCTCCCCACGGCGGTGAGGAAGGGAGGGAGCGGAGCCCATTCCATGGGGGAGCAGCCCTGCGCGGGGCTGTGTCTTGGCATCGCGTCCCGCCGGTGGGACATTATTCTCCAGGGAAAAGGTGATCGCTGCCACCCTGCGTGTCCCACAGAGCCGCATC